TTGCCCTATCGCCCACCCCGCCCCCCCAAAAATCAAGGGAAAGTTGAGGTAAGCCAGAACACCCAATAGAGTTGTACATTTTGCGCACTGTTTAAACATGCCTGACTAAGGGGGCAAGTGGGTTTGGAAATCTATGCTCTAGTTGCGTAGCTGGACTCCATGGCTCTCTGGAAGAATTTCTTTGCAGGGCTAGGCTGCGTCAGGGAGAGCACATCTGCCCAATGGATTGCTTGTCCTGGAAGAATTTCTTTGCAAGGCTAGGCCACGTCAGGGAGAGCACATCTGCCCAATGGATTGCTTGTCCTGGAAGAATTTCTTTGCAGGGCTAGGCCACATCAGAGCACATCTGCCCAATGGATTGCTTGTCCTAATTTATACACCCTGAGAGAGCATTTTTTCTAATTTATGAAAGGCCCTGTAGAGGCTAGCTGTGGCCAGTGAAAAGACCACATTCTTCATGATATGCCTTTTCTTTGTTTAAATCTAAAATCGTTTGTGCTCAATTTCTTACATGCTTCATTCATTCAACAAGTATTTATTGAGCCCCTTGGCTGCACATGCCACCAATACAACCAGGAACAAACCATAGGCACCTGACCACAAGTTGCTGTCAGTCTAGGTACATGGAGACAAGTAACCAAAGATTACAATGCAATTACTTTTAGCCTCTTGTGTGGCCATGTTCCTAAAATTACCATGACTGTCAAACCTGAAACTGACAAAATTAAGATGTAGTAGAAAATAGATGTAAAAGGATCTCATTTCCACAACAAACCAGATACTCCCATTTAAAAAATCTGCTCCAACACCAAATATTTCTCTTGCCTAATTTCACTCAATTATTCAGAAAACATTGCTGCATCCCTGTAATCCAGGAAATTGTAGAATTTCCTACCAATTTCACTATTTCTGAGCTAAATCTAATACAAACTTTGTTAGTATATAAACTGGAGCAGGTTCTATGCCAAAGTTTCTGACTCGTTAAATAGGGATCATAATAATACATTTATTCTGCAATTATTATGAGCATTAAATGAATTAAATTATATAAAGTGACTAGTACATAATAAATATTCTCTATTCCCTGCATTTATTTTAAAGTTTGTAAATCTAATATTGTTGGCAAGTTTGAATTTAATCAGTGGTGTTTTTGTTTTTTTGCACTTCTATTTTCCTTTGGCCTATTTTCACAATTTCCAATAAAATTTGTATTTGCCTCATGAGACTTTCACAAGCATTGTGGTAGTTGAGGGCTGATTTTCTGGATCTGAAGAGATAATGGTAAAAATATTGGTTCTGAAACTATACAATCCTGAGTTCAAACCAACCTCTGACACTGCTCAGTCCAAATGTATCTGACATGAGGATCATCTGACAAGAGGAGCATCTTAGAAGCAATGTGTGTATGTAAGGCCTATGGTATCTTGACATTTAGGAAACACAGTAATCTGTGCAATGGTAAGAAATTTATTTAAACTCCTTAATTTGCCATTTCTTCATTTGTAAACTTATTTTACTCATAAACCTATTTCTTAAAGTTGATAGAAGTAAATGAAATAATACATATGTGGCGCCTGGCATAGTGCCTGGAATGTAATGAATGATTTATACATGTTAGCCATTAATAATTGTATCCACATTTTGCATTGAGAGGATGAAATATAAATCGATCCTCATTCTCTGCAATAAACCATAAACCTGTCCCCAGAAGGGTCTATAGAAAGAAGTCATTATCATTGCCTTTTTAAAGGGAAACACATTAGGAGATTAGAGATTAGATTCTAATTTTGTCATTTACATGTAAGTGGGAGATTGCTGTAGTATGGTGGCTCTTTTGAAAGGATGAGTAGAGTCCAAAGAGAATTGGCAGATCAGCCCCCTGGAAATCATCTGTGGAATTCATCCTTGGGAAAGTGACTTCTAGAATGAGGTCTGGAGGACGAGCAGGAGTTAACCAGTTAAGCACAGGGGAAAGAGATCTTCAAGCAAGAGGAACAGGATGCACCAAGAACTGAAGGTGAGAAAGAGCCAGGTGTGTTTGAGACTAATCAATGTTATTCATGAAGTTGTACTGTGTTTACAAAATACTGCATATTTGACCATAAGTAATGAATGCACTTCTTTCAAGATCAGAGGATCATTCCTAGATCACAGAACTTTAGATTCTTAAAGATTTCAGAGATCAAAACTAAAGCCTTTCCTTTTTTGAGATAAGGAAACCAAAGTTTGGATGAATGAAAGAGAAAAGGGGTCAATAGAGAGAAGGTAGCTAACATGATGGGCACCTATTATGTGTCAGACAAGCGACATTCTGTACATACAATAGATGAGGAGACTGAGACATAGAGATGTTAAATAACTCACTCAAAGCCATAAATTTAATAAGAGTAGAGTCAGAATTCAAATCCAGATTTACAATCCTCCAGATTCTAGGATTGTTTTCACTATACTCCCTGGAATTTGTGTGAGCTGATCCACCTGTGAATTTATCTCCACAATGGCATTATAATTGTTTGTTTTTGCACTAGTCTATAAGCTTCTGGTGAGTCTTTCTATTTGCAAGCACATTTTCTGGAAGATGAATGAGCCCAAAAAGATATCAGATGACTGGATGGATGGATGGATGGATGGATGGATGGATGGATGGATGGATGGATAAGCATTTGAGAGATTACTTGGATGGATTTTTCTGAGGGTCTACCCAATTACCTTTCAAGCTTATTGTGAAACTTTCAAATAAACTTCTAAATCTAATTAATCACCAACATTTCAAAAAGTCAATAAGAAATCTACAATAATTTTAAATTTAACAAATTCAAAACCAAATGATTCTGAATAGAGTAATAAAGGGCAGATCCGGAATAGAAGCCCTACATAGTGAGTTCCTTGCAGACACAGTCCATGGCCCATTTATCTTTTTGTCCCTAGTATCTGGCCTCAGAGCATATTTGGCATGCATGTACTGAAAGGCTAATCCGTCAACAGTTCTGACTAGAGTCATGCATGCATGGCTAGCCTTGTAAATAATAGAAGGAGGACAATTCTGTATTTTCTGGTGGACCAAAGGAAGAAAAGAACTAATGTTTTACCACACAAAAGACCTACATTTATTGTCTTCATACTGAGATTCCAATGAAGCTATTAGACCTCAAATTAAATGTTGATTATGGGCAAGAATGACATGGAACATATCTAACCATTGGTACATACAGGTATCAACTAGTCAGAACAGATGTCATGGCCTAACAAAAGGATACCTCAATACATCAGAACAGATAACAGTAAATAACCAGTTCAATGCACAGCGTAGGGCATGAATGTCAGCCCTGCTCAGAGGTCTTTCGAGATGAGATGAGAAGCAGAGACATGGTTGATGAAGAGCAGGGACACTGATAACAGGGAAGAGGATCTAGAGGCTAAAATGTGAGGACCTGCTTTTAGGAATGGGATAGAAGACAGTTTCCAGAATTCAACCATATAATTCTTATCAGTCTTGTAGCAAGGCACAAGGGTTGCTAGAAAGAGTGAGCACGGATCAGATGTTTGCATATTTGGTGCTAGATAACCTGAGTATTGACCTAGAGTTCTCTACAAAGAATGGAATTAGTTCAGTGGTCTCTAGGGTTAAACTGAACCTCCAGGATGGAGATTGATCACATGGTTCAGCTGTGGGGAAAGAAGAAAACCACTGTGACTTAGAAAAGAATATCATTTGAAAAGAATATCATTTTTGTTAACAGGGCTGGCTTCCTTTCTTCTTTCCTCTTTCTGTGTCTTTTCTGTCTGAATCAGCTAGAATCAGTTTCTGTTGCTTGCAATACTATTACATAAGATACTCTGCCTTATTATCGACACAATATCCTTATTAATTCTATCTAAGCTCATTAGCTCTTTGAACAACCAACTCCTTATTCATTAGGTATTTCTGCAGGTGTTCATGTAATTTTGTGGGTTTAGCTGTAAAATATTTCAATTCAAGATAATGGACAAAAACTACTTGAGTAAGATTTAACCATGTAAATAATGGACTTTACCCCCATGATTTTATATTGAAGAGGCCACTCTCAGTTATTGACTACTGCCAAGTTCCAACATTCTTTCTCCACAGCCTCATCCTTTGGTTCATGCTGATTTTTCTCTCAGAAATGCCCTTCCTACCACCTCCACCTGTGGAAAGCGTATTTATTCTCAAAAGACTGATTTAAGTATCAACTCTGCAAAGCCTTCCCTATTTCTCAGGTTAGAACTAATCACTCCACATCTGTGATTCCTGGCAACATCACCTCTGTTGGAACAGTGCCCAGGTGTGCCTTGAACAGCAGATAACTGGGCTCCTCAAAGAATTCATTGTAGATTACCAGAGCTATGACAAATATAAAAGCCATATCTATAACTCATTGGCATAAAGATGAATGTATTAATATTACATACTAAAACATTTACTTTGACCTAAAAGTTCATTTCTTTTTTCCAATTTCAAAAGAAAGTAAACCTTTTCTGTTTAGTAGAGTGGAACCTTGGCACTGTGTCCACTGTCTCATAAGGAAGTTTTCCCTGTATGCATGTGCTCTCACTTATACATTTTTCTCATTTATGCAATCCACAGCTTAACGAGGCTTCTCTGAGAGACAAATTTGGTTTCAGAATATGGGGATAGGATCAAACTTGAGATAAGAGTAAATGATTCAGCATTAAGGGGGTTCTCTTAAAGGAGGCTTTTATTTTTTTCCTAATTGAATGACTCAAATATATAATGATTCTTTTTTAAAAGAGTCCAAACCCATTGACAGTTTGCTAGTTAAAAGTCTAGTTTTCTATAGAACATTTTTCTAGATAGAACCAGGGCTACTATGGGCATTAACAGTCATTTGTTTTGTTTGCAGTTTACCGATTTAGAGCAATATTTGAGTTAATCTGAAATAAAATAACTATCATTTGTGTGATGCTTTACAATTTACAAAGCACTTCCACATATATTACTCATTTAATCTACATCTTACCTTGAGAGGTTGGTGTCTTTTATTTTTCATTTGACAGGCAGGAAAAACAAGCCTCAGATGGATGAAGTGACTTCCCCAATGTCACACAGCTGGTAGTACAGAGTCTGGGACTCATGCCCTTAAGGTTCTTCTAATCCCAGAATCTCATATTCTTTCCAGTATATCATGCTGCCCATAGGGAAAAAAAGCATATATATAAACACATGCATTAAAGAGTTGAGCTCATACTTCCAAGTAGATTGATGTTCTTTTAGAAAACCTAATGGCATTTTTATAGATGTCATTGTTACGAGTTTAGTTCTAAAACATTCAACAAAAGATGGTTGACAAAATTTATTTTCAGTGGAAGTCAAAATTAACTGAACAATTATTTTGAATTTATATGAAATTCTATGGATCATGAACTTTGATAGAAATTATAATAAATATGTCAGGAATGGATAGATAAGATACATATTTTTAATGTCAAATTCCAAGTCTTTTTTCCTTAGCTTGTTAGATCTCCCTTTCCTTCCTTTCTCTTCTCTGTCTCTTAAGCCTCACCTTAGATGTAGACCCCTTTCATACTCTCTTTTGGTAAACAACCTAAAACAAACTTTTCTGTGAGTCATCTTTTATCAACCTCTTTGCTCCTGAAAGGGGTAATTTCCTCACAAATAAAATAAAAGGAAGACATGAGTAGCTCAGTCAATTAAGCATCTACCTTCAGCTCAGTTTCCTGGGATTGAGCCCCACATCAGTCTCTTTGCTCAGGGGGGAGCCTGCTTCCCCCTCTCTCTCTCTGCCTGATGCTCTGCCTGCTTGTGCTCTCTGTCAAATAAATAAGTAAAATCTTAAAAAAAATAAAACAAATGGAAGAAAGGAATTGCATTGAGCAAGTCTGATCTTGAGTTCTACAAACCATGAAGACTAACTCATACATTATCTAGAAAAACAAATGAGGGCTATTAAAGTCAGCATGAGCACTTACTCTTCACAAGAAATTTGGGCAAAACAAAGAATGAGATTTTAGAGATTTCAGGACTGTAATCCAATGCCAGGCAATACACGAATCGACCCTTTCAAGTAAAAATTTGATAGTAGTTTCACAGTTCTGGGAACTAGTGTGACTGAAAATAAATTATTTTAAGCCAAGTTTGCAAGGCCAGGAAGTGAATAACTGAATAACTGAATGTGAATATGTCATCCCAGTTCAATTTCATTTTGATTATTCACAGAAGAAGGATCAGGAAATATTTATAAGATTTTTCTGGAATGATTTCTGCAGTTTAAAAATATTCTATTTTGCTCAGAAATAAAAATCAAATTACTTTAATTTCACAAATGTCTTGATACTACACACCTTGCCACATGGTAGTCTCTTCCATTGTGATAAGAATATAAATAATGATATTATATGATTTTTAAATAGACAACTTAATTTCCTTTTACATTCTATATTTCCCAACCTTTGGGTCTCCGGGTCACGAAACAAAAGGTATGTTTCGGGTGTGGCCTCACGAAGCTGGTGCTACACAGATTGTTTTACCCACAACAGACATCCTAACCAGAAAGTCAGCAATTCAACCGAATGCTGCCTTAAAACCCAGCTTAATATAGCAATGAGTAATGTTTGCACAATGTGTGTTCCTGTATATATTTATGCTTTTTTTACATAGTAAAATAATACAGTCATGACATACTTTTTTTTCCCAAAGACCTGAACAATAATAAATGCATTAATTAATTTTAAATGTTTTTCATTAGCGAGAAAAATTCTGAATTACAAAAGACAAATTTGATGTGCTCAGTGATATTGTTTAGAGATGAATGTTTACATTTTATTTCATATTTTATAATATGGTCTTACAACTGCTTAGCCACATAGACATTAGGTGAGACTTAAAGTGTCTCAAGCATCTCACAGAATAATAATTTTTTAAATTATTGGAATAAAACATAGATTTGCCTTTAATCCATTACCTACGATATTTTTTTAAAAACTGGTGACAAATTAAAACACAAATGCTAGTAGCTTAATATTGCAGCCAAATTGAGAAAATCTGGCCAAATTTGATTCTATTCAAGAATAAATTTTCATTTTCAAAAGATATAACGGCAACTATCAAAATTAATAAAACTTTCTATACACATAGGCCCTTTATAACCTGTGGAGTCCATTGTACCCCATGGCTGCATGTTTTATGCTGTTTCAAAAAATAATAATAAAAATAGATTTGGAGTTATCAATTCATTTTGGAAATAAAGGGATTAATCCTATTAGAAACAATAAAAGCAAGGATAGAGAGCTCAGAAATGGACCCTCAACTCTATGGTCAACTAATCTTCGACAAAGCAGGAAAGAATGTCCAACGGAAAAAAGACAGTCTCTTCAACAAATGGTATTGGGAAAATTGGACAGCCACATGCAGAAGAATGAAACTGGACCATTTCCTTACACCACACACAAAAATAGACTCAATATGGTTGGAAGACCTCAATGTGAGACAGGAGCCCATCAAGATCCTAGGGGAGAACACAGGCAGCAACCTCTTCGACCTCAGCCACAGCAACTTCTTCCTAGAAACATTGCCAAAGGCAAGGGAAGCAAGGGCAAAATGAACTATTGGGACTTCAACAAGATAAAAAGCTTTTGCACAGCAAAAGAAACAGTCAACAAAACCAAAAGACAACCGACAGAATGGGAGGAGATATTTACAAATGACATATCAGATAAAGGGCTAGTATCCAAAATCTATGAAGAACTTATCAAACTCAACACCCAAAGAACAAAGAATCCAATCAAGAAATGGGCAGAAGACATGAACAGACATTTTTCTAAAGAAGACATCCAAATAGCCAATAGACCCATGAAAAAGTGCTCAACATTGCTCGGCATCAGGGAAATCCAAATCAAAACCTCAACGAGATACCACCTCACACCAGTCAGAATGGCTAAAATTTTCAAGTCAGGAAACAACAGATGTTGGTGGGGATGCGGAGAAAGGGGAACCCTCCTACACTGTTGGTGGGAATGCAAACTGGTGCAGCCACTCTGGAAAACAGTATGGAGTTTCCTCAAAAAGTTGAAAATAGAGCTACCATACGACCCAGCAATTGCACTACTGCGTATTTACACCAAAAATACAAATGTAGTGATCCGAAGGGGTACGTGCACCCTGATGTTTATAGCAGCAATGTCCACAATAGCCAAACTATGGAAAGAGCAAAGATGTCCATTGATAGATGAATGGATAAAGAAGATGTGGTAGATATATACAATGGAATATTATGCAACCATCAAAAGGAATGAAATCTTGCCATTTGCAACGACGTGGAAGGAACTGGAGGGTATTATGCTGAGCAAAATAAGTCAATCAGAGAAAGACATGTATCATATGATCTAACTGATATGAGGAATTCTTAATCTCAGGAAACAAACTGAGGGTTGCTGGAGTGGTGGGGGGTGGGAGGGATGGGGTAGCTGGGTGATAGACATTGGGGAGGGTATGTGCTATGGTGAGGGCTGTGAATTGTGTAAGACTGTTGAATCACAGACCTGTACCTCTGAAACAAATAATACATTATATGTTAAAAAAAAAAAAAGACGATAGCAGGAAGGGAAAATTGAAGGGGGGGAAATCGGAGGGGGAGATGAACCAGGAGAGACTATGGAATCTGAGGAAAAAACTGAGGGTTCTAGATGGGAGGGGCATGGGGGGATGGGTTAGCCTGGTGATGGGTATTAAAGAGGGCATGTATTGAATGGAGCACTGGGTGTTATACGCAAACAATGAATCATGGAACACTACATCAAAAACTAATGATGTAATGTATGGTGATTAACATAACATAATAAAATTAAAAAAAAAAAAAAGAAACAATAAGAACAGTACCTGGAACAAAGACCCTCCCATTGGAAGAAGGGCAAGTATTTTCCACAATACTAGGAAGAGAGTGCTGAGAAGATGCCAATGTTCTGAAGATATAAAGAGAAATCTAATCAAGAAAAAATGACCTGCAGAGGGTCAAGAAAGACAAGATATTGCAGTCCCAAAAAGCAATGAGGTTCAGGAAATTTAAAAAGAGGTAATAGGAATAGAATATAGGTAGGTTTGGTTCAGAAAAAGAGAGAGAGAGAAAGACAGAAATAGAATTATTAAAACTGGGACAAGTAATTAGAAAAGGTTCAAGTAAAATTTTCTGTTTTAGATTGATACTGTGTCCAGCACTTATGCTTTGCCTGAGCCTACTGGTGGAAAGTAACTGAACTTAGCTGCTGGTAGAGAAAAAATTCTGGGGCAGAAGCCAAACAAATAGTGTACTATCAGCAAATTGTACTGAAAAAAGGAATATGCTTTTATATAAATATGCGCTATGGTAGATTGCTTTTAAAGATGGCCACCAAGTTCTCTTATCTCTGTATGTGTAGGCCCCTCCCCTCTTCCCTTTAAGAACAGGAATCTATTTCGCCTCATCTCAGTTCTGGCCTGGACTTGTGACTTACTTTGACCTAGAGGATGTGGCAGAAGTAATAGACTTTGTGACAGTTCTGGGCTGAGGATTTGAGAAACATGGCAGCATCCACTCCTGCTTTCTGGAAAGTCAGTTGTCATGCTTTAGGAAAGACAGTCTAGACTGCTGGAGAAAGGGATGCACATGGAGGAGAATCAAGGTACTCTAGCCATTTACCCATCCCAGATGAGACAAGAGACATGTAAGACCATTTCTGGTGTTCCAGACCCAGTCCAGCCACCAACTAATTGCAGCCATATGACCCCAGCTGACAGACACTACATGAAGCAGAAGTAATTGTCAACCAACCCATAAAAGATTTTTAAAGATTTTATTTATTTATTTGAGAGAGAATGAGATAGAGAGAGAGAGCATGAGAGGGGGGAGGGTCCGAGGGAGAAGCAGACTCCCTGCTGAGCAAGGAGCCCGATGCGGGACTCAATCCTGGGACTCCAGGATCATGACCTGAGCCGAAGGCAGTCGCTTAACCAACTGAGACACCCAGGCGCCCAATCCACTATTTTTAAAGTGGTTACTTATACAGGAATAGATACTAAAATTTGCAGCAAATTAAAAGGGAAGATGAACAGTGGCTGGAGAGTAGCAGATGGATTTAAACTGAACTTTTTTATTAATGCAACAAGAAATAATCAATGTTAGGATAGAAGCAAAAT